CCAGTGCCACGATGGGGTTCACACTTGTGATTTTTATTCAAATAAATTTGTATATAACACATTTAGACACTAAATGTAAATCGGGGGATGCTTTCATCACTCAGATCACCTCCTGCACAACTTATTAATCTTCTGTGTGTGTTGACACTAAGTGTATTTTACTTGCTCTCAGTTGATGGAATTCGCTTGTGGTCTGGTTTGTCACAGATTTTCATTGTATTTATTTTTTTTGTTCCTGGATTTATTTTTGGCTCGTTTTTTGTGTTCTTTTAAATTTACATTTTTCAGTTTGTTTCACTTTGTGAGTGATTTGTTTCTCTGTTTGTATTTTATATTTATGACTCTTTTATTGTTGTTATTTGATTACTTTGTTGCTGTTTTTGTTTATTTTCAGTTATATTGTCACCTTGTTGCTATTTTTATGTCTCATTTGTTTATTTGTTTTTTAAAATATATCTGTGGATAATTTGTGTCTCTTTGTGGCTGTTTTTCTTTTTTGTTTCTTAGCAGCCTTTTTCCATGTCTTTGTCTCTGTACATTTAGTTTTTCTTTTTGTAGCTGTTTGAGGATTGTTGTTGCTGTTTTTCTGCATGTTTTACTATCACAGTCACCTATTGGTACCTGCCATGGTGACCTATGTTTGTTTATTTGTGACATTTTACTTTTTATGGGTGATTTTGTGTCTCTTTGTGGTTGTTTTGATCAGCTGTATGTCTTTTTTCTTTATGTGCACTTTTTTGTTTTAATTGTTTTCATTTTTTTTAAATCGGCTTGTGGCTGTTTTTTATCCATTTGTCTGAATCGTCTTCTTTTTGTGCATTGCTGTTTTTGTGTCTGTCTTTGAGGTATTATACTATTTGTTGGGCTATGCTAACGCTTTGTGGTCTTTAAGTCACATTGTTTCTGTGATTTTTATTTTTTTGTGAATATTTTCTGCTACCTTTTGGGTAGTTTGTGTTCATTTATTGCTTTTTGTGTCTATTTGTTAATGTTTTCTGTGTCATTGTTAAACATTTTGGGTTTTTTGGTCATTTTGCATCTGTTTGTAGCTTTTTTGTGGACTGTTGTAGTTCTTTGCATGTGGCTATATTTCCTGTTTGTAGTTTCCTGTTCTTGTTACTGTAGTTGGTCTTTATGGCTTTTTAATGCCACGTTAAAGTCATGTTTTTGTTTTGTTGTCATCCATTTACATTTTGCGTTTTTTCCGCGCTTTCTTTATCTCTGGAGCTGCTCTGCTCTTATTTTTGTTGATTTGTGTGAGTGTGGCCATTCTTGTTTGTACTTTTGTGGCTCCTCCTCTACCGCACAACCCCATTGTCCAATTAGAAACCTTCATGAGAACCAGGTCAACAGTTTGGCATTTTTGCATTTTGAGTTATGTGTTTGGACCTCATCATCACTCACATTTTAAATCAACTGCCTGAAACTGTTTAAAGAGAGAAAGTTGTCAAAATGTTTTGTTTGTGGTCCTTTGAGGATGAAGAGATGCGAGAGAAAAAAACAGATCTCAGGGTGTTCAGGAGAAAAGGATAATGTATGTGTAGTTTTAACACACGTGCACATCGTGACCTAAATGTGTTCTCTGCCAAGTATACAAACTGTCATTGTTTGTGTTACCATGACAATCAGCAATACTATGACTAGTTGCACAGCCGTGCATGCCGACCCAAACCCTCATGCTTCTGCAACTGAAAAACACTAACGACACCAAATAAGTAAAGCAAAGCCAGCACATCACGTTTTTACTGGAAAGTTTGCTGCTCACAGCAACATTAGTTTCTTAATAATTTTTGTTCATTTGTGGGTTTCATTTATTTGATTTTATTACATTTATAAAATGTTATTAGATTTAATTTATTAAAATTAATAAATATATTTTCATTTGTTACATTTTTAATAAAATAATAATCGAAATATAAATGTTTTTAAAATACAAGATATGCTCTAGGAAAACAAATAAAACAAACAAACAACTAACTTAATATCCCGAGAGATTAAAGAAAATATTTTTCTCATTTTTGACTAATTGTAAACATTTACACACAATCAACATAAATGAAATTTGGCTGAAAAACAATGTTGTGAGATTAACTTACATAACACATTCATCTCTAATTCAACAGCAGGAAGTGTGTATCTCTGTCGACATGTATCCAGAACTTCACACTGGGGAATCTTGTATGTATTAAATAATTCATTCGTGGGCTTCCTGCCGGTGCTGTCAAAAACGCCAAAGGAGTTGTTATTAGAAAAACTGCAATTAGCAATGCTCTTCATCATGGTGAGTAAGAGTTACATTAACCATGAAGTTTTCTGCTCAGTCCGGAGAGGAATAAACATCTAAACCAGAATTCACCGTAGTTTATTCAATAACTGTTATTTCACTCAAAACCACAAATGTCAATAAGGATTAAAAAAAAGAAAAAGTGGGCTCGATCCTTAGTGTCTAAATGAATGCTAAACCTAGGCTTTGCATCAATCCTTGTACAGTAATACAACAACAAAGGTCCAGTGCCATGATGATAATCAGGTGAACAAAACAGTTAGCGGGATTCCTGCTTTGGAGAGAGGTCCACTCAGTAATTGTGATATTTTACTCAAAATCAAAAATTTCAATCTTATTTTACTGCTAGGAAAGTTAGACAATCATCTAAACCTTAGGATTCATCCTCCTTAGAGGAACTCGATTTTACAGCAATCAGTTTCCAGTAACATATCCTGAGACACTTTGGTGGTTTTGATTGCAATAAATCCCACGATGATGGTAGACATGTTGAGGACCGAAGTTTAATAGTTAAGCAGCACATGGCAACACTATGGTGGTGCTACAGAAAAACAAAGAGAATTAATAAAATCAGTAGGATTGATATGCTGGAGAATGTGAATGTCTCATCCATATTCAGTGCAATCCATTTAACAGTTGTAGAGAGATTCCACTCAAAACCACAAATGTTAAACCAGGGGGGAGATACTGCTGGAGGAAGGATTCACCCTCTGGGGAACATGAACGTCTAAGCCAGATTGTACAGCAATCAATCTACAGCATTAGCTGAAACAACAATAATCCTGTTCATGGTGGTCCTAGGAATAAAAGGCAGTGGGAGGGGAAAAAAGTCAAGAAGATTCATCCTCTGAGGAGCGTGTATATCTAAAGCGCATTCAATTAAATTTTATTTATATAGCATCAAACCTTACTTATGTCACTCAAACCCCAAAAACCAGCAGGATTCATCCTATGGGGGACTTCAATGTCTGAACCAGACTCTTCATTTATTAGATAGGTCACAATATATTCAATTTCTAAGCATACCTTTGTACAGCAGATGCTTTGACATCCAGGTGAGGCTGGTGATGTTTGAAGAGAAGGAGGTCGGAGAACTGCTGGAGGTGTTTAATTGTTTGAAAAAACAAACACAACAATTTTCAATGGAGGAAAAAGGCTTAACAAAAACGGTAGAAACACATACACGACTCAAAAGCAAATGTTTAACTTTATAAATGTTTAATTGCTTTTCATGTAATTACACTCACACACCCACAGTATGAATAATATAGATGAATGTCAGCATGAGACCAACATGCTTACGTGCCAAAGTCATTTTTCTCTCTGCAGCAGCTTTTTACATTTTGCATTCCAGTGAACACAATTTCTCCTATTAGTCCTATTAGTCCTATCACAGTGACACTGTTTGTTGATTATTGTCATACCAAATATAAAAAATGCTCTCAGCTTACTTGAGGTTTTCTTTCTTAATTACCCAATACAAAGAAAAAGTAATTTTCTTATAGTCGACATGCGTCCTAAAATTCCAGATATTTCCTTCAACAGTGGGTGGAGAGTTAAAAAACCTTATATTGGACTTGGAGTTGATTGTGTAATGCACGTAATGTGTGTAATGTTTATCTGTGTGTATCTTTTTGCTTAGCTCTTTGGCTATGTAAAGAGAAAGATTATAGAAATTATAGAGATTATAGAAATTCAGCTACAGGCAGACCTTGCAAATATAAAATAACAGGCATAGCTCTATCACATTGGCACCACGTGGAGGTCAAACACTGGTTTATTTGAAAAGTTATCATGAACAGGAAAGAGAACATCAGCTGAGATTATTGTAAAAAGGAAGAAGTGCAAAAAAATTGTCAAAGATCAAAAAACGGTAGCTTCAGAAACACAGACCCAGAGAACGGCTAGTGTCTCCTTGAATGGTAGCGAGTGGTTGTTAGAGCTTGCTGGTTGTCACTTGTTTCATTCAGTCGTAAAGCACCAAAAACATACCTGTCATTGCTTTAGTCAAAAGCCAATACAATAACTTGTCTGCAAATGCTTGCCAACCTCTACTTTGAAAACCACTGTTTCTGTTTTATTTATTTTTTTGCTGTTTGGTGAATAGTTCGTGAGTAATTCCAGACAAGTCATCGTCTTCCAGTGCATAAATGCCACTGCAGCAGTCCTCTGAGAGTCGAGTCGAAAGCACCTTTCAGCAACCATTAGCCAAACAGCTGGGGAATACATATTTTTGCAGTGGGTTATTGGCCGGTCTCTTTACTTTGTTCTTTTGCAATAACTTGATTAGTTATTGAAGTTTTTCCCATAGAATAAATATAATCATTTGATATCCACACCTGGCTTTGGACTCTCAATTTTGAAGTCTCACCAGTTGTTAGCACGTCGGCTGCTACCATGAGATTTAGTTGGAGCCAGAAGTGGACATGTCTATTGGTACTGTAAGGTTGAAAATGTAATGTGGGAGTTTGTGTGGCTTGACTCCCTCTTGGAACCAGCCTCAAATGGCCGTTGGTGGATGGGCAATGAACTGCATTTCTCTCACAAACGTGGAACTGCTGCGTCTGTAAAATGTGTTTTCTACTGTAAACTCAAAATTTGTTTCTGGTTCTCCTTATGGGTCAAAAAGATTTTGTATATTTAGATTTAAGAACAAGCTTAGCTAATTCTCTCACTTAAAGCTAACATTAATTTTCTCCTTTCTTTTGCTTACCAGCATCTTTAGATCTCGTAACCTGACCTTGGTGTCATCCGATGTTTCAAATGCTATGACCCATCTTCATCCTCGTAACTATACCCTTCACAATGGTCAGTTAATCGGCCCACTGATCTTACAGTCTGCCTCCAAACCCACCATCTCCCCTGTCCTCGACTGCCCCACCAGCAGCAGGGATGCATGTGATGGGCAGCGTCTCGCAGGCCACTGGGAGCCAAGATTTCTCTGTCCAACAAGAGGATGTAGCTGTTACCGTGACAATGTCTCTCCCTTCTCCTCCTCGTCCTCCATCGAGGTATGCTGACATAGAAGATAAGCAGATGAAATCACCTGACATTCCTCCACCACCTCCCCCACCTCCTCCTCCCCTGCTGCCTCTGCCACCAGAGCTTGGACACCCCGCTGGTGGGCTGAAGAAGAAAAGGAGGGTGAGGAGTTTTTTCTGGAAAACGATTCCAGAGGAGCAGGTAGAGTTCCTGCTTTACATTTGTCTCAGCACATCGTTTTAACATATATATTTTTTAATATATATTACATTGTTTTACTTACTGGCAAACGTAAATGATGACTAAGCACCTCTCTGAAAACGCTTGAGTCCAAAGAGAAATCGAGCACTTTCATAAAACGGCTATTACATTACTAAAGTCTGTGTCTCAGGTAAAGGGACGGCTCAACCTATGGACTCAAGGCCAAGTGAAACAGAAATACGAGATTGACGCTCAGACTGTCGAAGAGCTGTTCGGTCAACATGACGGTCAATCAAAAACCCTGGCAACGCCCGCCAGGGGAGGGAAAACCAGCAGCTCATTTAGAGAGACCAAACAGGAGGTGTGTTTTTGATGCAGGGCTGCGTGTGCTGCTGTTTGTTGAAGGCATGGGAGATGGAGTGAAGTGTGTGTGACAGTTTCCACCAGGGCTTTGACCTCAGATTGACCCTCTCTCTCTCACTCAGGTTTCCATCCTAGATGCTAAGCGAGGGATGAACATTGCAATTTTTCTCAAACAGTTCAAGAGGTAAATAATCTCACTTGATCTTGAGCATGAACACACACACACACACACACACACACACACACACACACACACACACACACACACACACACACACACACACACACAGTTTAACCCAACATGAAAACATAGTCAAAGACAAAATATGTTTTTATGTATTTGGTTGTTCATTGCTGCCTCTGTTTGATTTCCATGATAAGAAGCATCAGAGCATCGAACTGATAATTTCTGACTGTTATGTCGAGTGGATTAAGTTATGATAGGCAAGCTTTCACTTTAAAGGTCATGGATTTGATTCCCAGAGAAAAGAAGAAAAGGAAAGTCATGAACAGGAATGCTAAATGCAGACAGTGTTGTCATGTCGGTGTTTGTTGAGAATAATGTGGGTATGACACAGCATGACTATGACAAAATGACTGTCAGACGGAGATGGGGATTTTATTAGCTGATGGCGTGTCACAAAGCGATGCTGTATTGTAGTGTGTTTCCTCACCATCATCCTGAAGTGTTGAATAAACAAATGTGGTGATGTGGGCAGGTTATACTTGATTGAATACACACTACAGACATGTGACCATATGTCAGATTAGAGGAAAAGACTGACGTATACAGAGATAATACAACAAGGGACACAAGAGATGAAGCGAGCAAAATGACAACAATCAAATTCAAGTTGACCAAAAAAAGAGATGTAAAATAATAACTTAATGGAATGTGAAGGTTCTCAGTCATCTGGGTCATCGTAGTCTAAGGAGCTTAAAAAAGGACTTGAGCTTAGTTGAAGACCTTTTTTTTTTTTTTTTTTTTTTTTTTTTACCTCTCATCCGAGAAGCTTCTATCGTCTGTCCATCTGTATCTAAAGGACAAAGGTCACTCTTTCGAGGATATCAATGTTCACATTTTGGACAGAGAAGACTGTTTGAAAGAGGAGTAAAATAATTCATCTATGTCCACTGTGAGCGACCGTCTTTGAACAGAGGCGGTGGTTTACGACACCAACTCTCTGCCATCTATAATCCAGTTCTGAGATCCCTTCCCAGACGCCTTAACGCCCACTCACATCCTGGGCCATCTGACCTCAGGAAATCACACGATGGGGTGGGGCCAAGTTTCACAATGAGCTCACCTGAAACCCTGGCTGATTGTGACCTACACCAGTTTTCACACCTTGGCTCATGTGATTAGGTAGAGGATCATTAGGGGGTCCATTGTCCCTCTTGGGGGGAAACTCCCATAGGGCTTAAAATCTGGGACCCTCCACCAATCGCTCTTAGAACTGAAGAAGCTTCTCGGATGAGAAGTGAAACGTCTTCAAGGAAACTTAAAGAAGTCCAGACGCTTTTCTTTCCAAACTCCTTAGAATAACTTAATGGATATAAACTGATCTTAAATTGACAAATGACAAACTGTCTAAACAAAGATTTAAATTCATAATGAAGAGCTACAGAAGTGACAGAAAATAACTACAATGTCATTGATTATTGACTATTATTAACAAAAAGATTTAGACCGACAACAAAGAGGCTGAGAGATGCAAAATGGCAATAAGAAGAATTAAACCACTTGAGGAGAAAAGAAGAAAAATGAGAATGGTGTAACCTTGTGACAAAGGAGGCCAAATGGCTGAAAGTGAACTTAACTTGCATGAAGAGGTGCAAAGTGGCAATAAAGGGGTGTAAAATGGTTAAAAAGATGCAAAATAGGTGCAAGGAAACTTATGTTAGCCATGAAAAGATACAAAATGAAGACTGAGAAACTAAAATTGATCACGAAGAGAAAAACAGTGACGAAGGGAAACAAAATGAGAATACGAGGAAATGCGAAATTGTTACAAGCATACATAATTTGATGACAAAAAGATGAAAATCTCTACAAGAGCGATTAAATAGAAATAAAGAGATACAAAATGGTCACGAACAGGCATAAAGTGGCTACAAAGGGACATAAAATGAACAAAAAAAGCGTACAAAATGGGACAAAACAGCAAGAAAGTGATATCCTACATTCAAATCAAAGCACAGCGCTGCTCCAGTGAGACACTAAACAGCTCGGCTACACCGCAGTTGTGGTTTGTGTGTCCTTGAGCCTGACGTCTTAATCCTCTGTAGGAGGGTTGGTGGTCTTGTCCCCAGGGGCCTGCTGTCTTGTAACCCATTCATGGTAAGGTCACCGCAATGCTGCTTGACAGAATTACTGCATTTATATTGTTCATAGATACGTATTCATGAAGCTTTAATGTAGTTCAAAGAATGAAAAAACTTGCTTTATCTAAACCTCCCTTCACCTTTTTTACATTTATACCTCACTGAGGATTTTACATCTTCACCACAGCTTAATATAGAGATAGGAAGTCACGTAAAAAGTGTCCACAAGGTGAGTCAGTTGGCTAAGCTTAGAGAATGTATTGAATGAATGTGCTGAATCATTCAGGTCACCATGTTGAGACTTAGTGCTTACCAAACACACTGAGGGACATACAGGCATGTGGGAGACGGAGAGCAGGAATGTACAGCAACTATACCTGAAATCAATTGGAGAAGAATCTGAGTTGTATTGCATCATTTTATGTTCACGATGTAAAATATCCACAAAAACTCTGTCATTCAGTTTCAAATTAAGCTGAAGGTTTTGCAGCTGCTTTAACACAGAGCTAAAAGTACCCAAAAGTTAGTTCTGTTCATCCGGACGTAACGTTTCCAGGTGGAGAAAAGTTTCGTCACTCATCAGGATTTCCTTACCTGGATGATTAAGCATGCATCATGACTTTAGTATAAGTACTTTTAACTTTTCCAACAACAAAGTAACAATTTCGAGAAGTGGGAAGTAAAAGACACAGCCATCTGCTCCAGGAAATATACTTTGAGATGACTGTGCAAAATGTTCGAGTTGCCCTGCACTTCTTTATACTTTTCTAAGGAAATGGTTAAAAAAACAAAGGTGCAGCGATTTATTACAATGTGAGGAAACATACATGGAAAACCAGTATATAAGACAAATCAGAGTTTGTACAGTTCAGATGAGCCTGAAAATCTATATTTAGCAGGATCGCCTTTGTTCTTCAGCACAGCCTGAACTTTCTTAAACAGCATGCTTGTACTTTCTTTAAACAGTCTTCAGGAATAGTTCTCCAGGCTTCTTGAAGGACATTCAAAACTCTTCTTTGGATGTGTTGTTTTGCTTTGTTTGTTCTGTTCTCACACTGCTTCAGTAATGTTGAGATTTGGGCTCAGGCCAGTCCATGACTGATACCATTTTATTGTGCAGGTCCAGGTACAGTCAAGGTGTTCTTTTACTGTAATTGACAATGTGTTTGGGATTATTCTGATGTTGAAAAATGAAGTCTTTACCAATCAAATGCCTTCCAGACTTGTGCAGTGTGTCAAAATCTGACTTTTCTTTGTTCATAGTTCTTCCATTTTTAACAAGATCTCCAACACCATTTACTGAAATGCAGCCTTAAAACATGAAAGACTCCACCAGGTTGTGCAGGCAACTGTAAAGACTCACTGTTAACCACCTGTCTCTATTTCTCACGCTCTCCTTCCATGCTCCACACATCTCTGATAAATCACTGCCGTAAATTTAAAGCCAACTTTTTTCAGACAGGTAAGAGAGCAGGGGAGACAATCATTAGCGTCACAGCGGATTCCATTGAACGACCACTTAATGTGTGACAAACAGCTCTCCGACCAACAACAACCCCCCCCCACACACACACACACACAGAACGCCAACAACTTCTAAACCCACAAATCCACTCTCAGATATCCTTGGCTGAGATTTAGACAGATGTAAACAGCACTGACAGACAGTATTCAGAAAACACTAATTTTCTTTGTCATAAAATTAAGGAAACAAAATTTCAATTGTGGGATTTTTGCTTTTCTCGTTTTAGGGCTTGTTGCTTAGAAAATCCCATTTTAAAAGTATGTCCATAGCATGTTACTAAAACTGTTGTTAATACATCTGCAAACTCTGTGACATCAAGTTGCATTTATAACAGAGTGTAAAAATATGTACAAGGAAGTTGTACTTGGTGGGATGATCTGACAGAACATGTCTGTCCAGTTTATTCAGCTCACTCAGTCAAGAAACGGTTTTAATGAACTCTGACATCAGAATTTCAGTCTTTTTGTGCTTGGCCTAACTGTGAAAGTGTGCTCTGTACTCATTGAACAAATTGAAGGTTTCAGCGAAAAATACAAAAACTGGATATCAAATAGGAAAATCTCAAGTTTATGGAATTCCTCATGACCTTGAAAGCAGCTTTGCACAATAACTCTGTGCAAGAAAGTTTCTATCTCCTGACAACAGTACAATAAGTTAAATTTTGAGTTTTTGAGTTTCTCTTCATCCACTGTGTAGGTTAAAATAAACTGGACGTGTATCGGCACTGAAGTTAATTAGTTAAAGAAGTTATTTTGTCCATTTTATTTTACTTTAAGTAACAGGGAAGGTGCTTCCAGTCAACAGAAAAATAACTATAAATGTCGTCTCACGCTAATTCCTGAATGAATATATAACATTGTTTCAATGTTGAAAATGAAATTATCATTTAAAAGCAAAAGGTTGGAGTTCACAAAGTGATAAAACTGTCTTAAATTATTCATTTTCTTGTTTGAATTTTAACCTGACAGAGTGAACTGAGTGTACCTTGTACGTGTGCAGATGGTAATTAAATCTCTGTGGGGGGAAAACCCAGATCAGCTTAGTGTAATGTTATTTTGATGCCATTTTAATTCTTAACTTCAGCACAATGAGTGTTTGTTTTTATATCTCTACTCACACTAAATTTAAACATCTTCTTCCTCCAGGTCCAATGAGACTATAGTAGATGAAATCTGCCATGGCAACAGTGAGGCTTTTGGGGTGGAGCGTCTGAGAGAAATGCTGAAACTGCTGCCAGAGTCTGAAGAGGTGAGACACACACACACACACACTGATGTGTTTTTTTTATCTGATCCATCTTTTTGCACTCATGAAGGTGAAGAAACTGAAGGCACACCGCGGCGAAGTCTCTCAGCTCTCATTGGCCGATTCCTTCATGTACCGGCTGATTCAGGTGCCCAGGTGAGCGCTGAACTTTTACTTAGTTATTCAGATTTATGCTGCGTTCAACTTTCACTGCAAGTTTCAGAAATTAGAATTAAACCTTTATGATCTTTTTTTTTAACATTTCCGATATTCATGCAAGATCCATGAAACAGTTTTACACTGAAAATGCTTCCACTGTCTGTACAGTTTCACCGTTGCATTCACTGAAATACTGCACCAAAAAAGTACATTTTTGTAGTACTTTTACTTGTATACTTACAACATTAAACATAAATACTTTTACTGGCTGTACAGTGGTTACTTTGATTTTTTGAAAACATGATGCACTGGTGTGAAACAGTGTTGGGTAAAAGTGGCCTGTGTACCAGCTCTAGCTCTAAGTGGGGGAAAATGTTTTTGTATCACTAAACAGGACCTTGTGACAGTTAACAGAGCTGACTCAGTGACTCAGGAATCATAACCGTTAATGCATCAATTTGTGCTCAACAAAACAAACAAATGTTAGTAAGTAGCTGCTGCTGGAGCGCTGGTAATGTGACATCTGCCTTCATTTCATTTCAAAAACATCAAGCTGAATCAATTACATGCCTGCAGCTCCCCCACACACCAATAACAACATCTCCTTAATGAGATGCGCTAAAAATAGTCCCACAGTTCAAACTAATTGCCAGCTGCTGGTATACAGTTACTACGAGAGTATGTAAAGTAGTAGCATTAGCTGTATTTAGTGAAGTGTACCAGCTTGGACGCAAAATAAAAATGTATTACTCAATTCATTTTCACCTCTCTCTCTCTCGGTCTGCAGTTACACAGTCCGCATTGAATCCATGCTCTTAAAGGAGGATTTTCCGGCAGCGTGCGAGGCCATGAAACGGGACATTAAGATCCTTCGCGCCGCCATCAAAGGTAACACGCTCGCAGCATCAGCGGCACACGGATGAGCTGCTCTCTGCATGCAGCCGCTGTTGGGAGCTCACACAGGCCACAGCTCTGCTTTCTCTTCTCTTACTTATTGTCTCAGTGTCAACGCAGAGCAGAGAAGGACCAGAACCAACACTGAGTGTGTTACAATGTTTTATTCCTTACCACAAGCAAATGTGCTGCAGGAGGCAGGTAGAGATTGTGTGGCCAGACTGCTTCTATCTGTGTTGTATGAACTGAAATTACTGAGAGAATGGCATGAACACCAACGATGGTGGTGGAGCTGTAAAACTTTTTAGAGCAAACTCATCAACTTTTTAAAATTAATTTTACATTTTAAAAAAAAAGTAACGTTTGACTCCTGACACTGGGATCAGGGCACTGAGGTAAAGTAGGGTTTGGTCAAATATACAATAAATAATACGTGTTAAAAGTTGCATAGAGCATGTTAATAGTTACTCTGAGATGCAGCTCATTGCTGCTGATGAACCTTATCTCTGTGTCTCGGCAATGAACAAACAACAAAGAAATCACACCGACTCACATCCATCAAAAACATTAAAAACCTCCAGAAAAGTTATTTTTCTTGACTCCAAACATAAGGTTCTGTTTGGGGTCGTCATCAGTGATGACATCGATCTCAGAGGATTCATTTAGCTTCAGAATCACCACGCAGAGGCGTAACCAAGAAGCTTCTAGAAACACTTTCACAGATTTAGCAGATTCTGTTACACAGATTGTGTTACAATGTCTCAGAATCAGTACTTTCACCTTTATGTGAAGGAGTGAGCCGTTTGATTCAGAAGTTGTAAAAAAAGAAAGAAAGAAAAGAGATCTGTGTATGAAACTCTGGAATATTTTTTAACAAAAATAAAATAATAATAAAAAAGATGAAAAGAAATAAAACGCAATAAATCTGGACTGAATGTCGTTGGTGCAGAAATACCTGCAGTAAAGCCTTCTCCTCGTTTACACCCTCCACCCAATACAGACTAACACCTTCAGTATTTTTAGCAGTGTGTGTGTGAACTTGATAACTGCCTGAACTGTTAACTAACCTTCCACATGCTAACACTGCATGTGATAAAACAGCAAACCCAGTGGGATTTTAGCATCATAAGCTTATGTTATCTGTATCTTTACTGCACAGGTTTTGTGTTTTTTCTCTCTTTACTCTCTTTTTACACAGTTATTTCCAGCAGGTGATGCTCTTGCATTGGTTTATCCTTTATGTACTGACACAAATGAAGACATCATTTCTTTTACTTTGTCTCCGTCCTCCAGAATTAATGTGTTGCGAGGAGCTCCATGCTGTTCTCCACCTGGTGCTGCAGGCCGGAAACCTCCTTAACGCTGTGAGTAGGAAAAAAACAAACATTGTACAGCATCAATGAATAATTAGATGAGGGAGAAAAAAGTGGATAGATGGTGGAAGAAGAAAAAGAAATACAAGAAGGAAGAAGAGGCAACAAAAGGCTTTTTAGTTTACACCCTTTATTTCCGTGACAGTAAGTTAATATTAGAATTCTGGTTTATTTCCTGTTTCTGTACATAACCTAAAACTTTGCATGGACACTTTTTATTAGAGTGAGTCAAGATGAAAAGGTGAGCTGCAAATTAAAAAGAAATGCTAAGACGACACTAAAACAAAGCAGTGTTTTCATAGAACTTCTCTTCCTTATTATAATCAGACGTAATATACTCTTTTTAAAAACACTCACATATATTAATACGAGTGTCAAGTGGTCACTGGAGGCTGGCTCCAAAATTGAGTCAGTCCCAAAAAAACTCATGTTTAAATGTTCAACTTTAGATCAGAATTAAACATGTTTACTGCTACAAATAGATTTAGATTCATATCTACAGTTTTAACCATGAGATTAACTGTAACTTTGGCTACGTTCACACTGCAGGTCTTATTAATGCTCAACTCCGATTTTTTTGATCAAATCTGATTTTTTTGTCTGCTTGTTCACACTGCAGATAAAATCTGACAGCAAACGCGCTCTAGTGTGAACCCTCAAAGCGGCCCGCATGTGCAAAAGAAGACGTCACACACAATGCGCTCTGTTTACACCCAGACTGAACAGTATTGTTTGACTGTTGGCCGTTAATATAAAGACTTGTTTCAGACTTTACGTTTCCCAATTTTGCTTTAAATTATAAAGTTATTGTGTTATTTACATAATAATGATCCTTATTGCTGTTTTAGAGAGGAGCGGTGCTTCAAAGGAAAGTTGCAGATTTCTGTCAGAATCTGCAGATTATACAGTACAAATAAAATGTTCACGTTTCTCCAACGTTGTCTTCCCAACAGTTTCTCTGGATGGCCAGGAAGTGTTCCTGATGTCTTCTCCGGCGCTGATAATCGGCGTCTGTCTTGTGTCAGTGACGTAAAAGACTGATTTAATGCGACATGACCGTTCAAACAGCAGTCGCTTTCTAGAACATCAGATATGTATCGGATTCAGTACCACATACGAAAGTGACCCAGATCGGATTTGAAAATATTAGATTTGTGCCGTTCACACTGTCATACCATGATTGGATATGGGTCGCAGAGGGTCAGAAAAGTCGGATTTGATGTGCTTTCGCCTGCAGTGTGAACGTAGCCTTAGACTTCAAGTTATCATCCAAATATAGGCTCTTGTTTTAAAAACTGACATGATGGCGGCCAAAACCATGCGTGACAGCATGGTGGCTAAATCCATCATTTAATTACAGTCAGGGTATCACTGAACAATTTATCACTCACAAATTGATTGGAAATAATATAGTGTCTTCTAAAGGTTTTAAATTTCAAAATGATTTGTTTTTAATTCATAACTGTTGGTTGTCTTATACACAGTGTGGACCAATGACATGCATTCATTGGTGAACAGATGCAGAAATCAGACTCGTGCAAAATGTAACAGTGACTGAAAATGATGAAAGAAAATCAGACAAAAACTATTTATGAATCTGAGTAAAAGTTCAAATTGTGGATCTAAACAAAATTTTATGCATAAAACAGGTTGGTGCACTAAATTAAGCAGCCTCCAAAGAGGATATTTAAATCAAGTTATTAATTTGAACGACATGGCAATAACGATATGACCAACACAGCTACACATTAATTAATAAAATCAGAGTATGCTGTATGTATATGTAGGTATAATTAAAGGTGAAAGAAAATTAGATCCCAAATAACTGCAAATTCATTAATTAGCATAAAAAGCTGCATTTATCAATGTAAAAAACCCAAAGCAAGCTGTTTCTTGAACTGATTATTTCAACAACAACAAATATATGTAAATGTAATGAAAATTGTCTTTGTTCAAACAAAGTCAGTTATTAATTAGACAATAAATGATAAGATATCAAAATAGTATCTGTAAAGTGTGACTGACAGGAAACTGCACAACGATGAGTGCTCTGCAAAAATGTGGAGACCAAAGAAACTGCAAACTAAAACAGACATTTTAACCAACATTGTTTTGTAAGTAAATCAACATTTCACTGCATAATAATGAGAATATGCCCACATACTATCCACTCTAATAATACTGCCTAAGGGAAGCATGTAAATGTAAATGGACTAGTGTAGAGAGGGATCCCATGTCAGAGGCAACAAAGTGGGCATTAGTGACAATGTGGTCTGATTAACAATGATGGAGACCAAAGGAAAGTCAAAACTAAATCACATTTTAATCAACTGTCCCTCAGTGACATTTATTTCAGTTTAATGAATTCTGCAGAGACGCCCTCAAAAGATAAAAGTCCAGCATAGAGCGGCTGAGTGAATGTGGTCTGGACTCTGTGGAGGAGAGTCATGGTTTCAGAGACGCTGTAGAAAGACAGAATACCTGCTCTGTGATCCAGGTACACTCCTACTCTGGAGGACCGAGGACCTAAGAGGACAGTTGGGATATTGTTGTGCGAAATGTATAACTGCTTGTGTCACAATCTAATGCCCAAGATTTTTCATTATATCCAAAAAAACATTCATTGCCAAACCCTGCTCTGCTGATATTCTTGTATGCGACTGCTACATAAACTCCACCTCCCAGTAACAACGTCCAGTCAGACTCTCTCTACTCAGGACCTGAACCATCCAGTGAATCTGTCTGGATGATCAGAATAAGACTGTTGTTGCTTCATAAATGTTACTTTTCTGTTCCCTTCAGATAATAACAGATGTTGTTTGCTGTGTTTGGATCCAGTGTGATTTCACGTGAATATTTTAAGAATCCAGCTCTGGTCTTTGGCTCTGCTGGTGACAGTAAAACATCCCTTCAGTGACTGTCAGTGAGATGTTTGTCCATTCCTCTCTCAGAATGTCCTGTAGTTTATCTCTGGTCTCTGACACAGCTGCTGTCACATCCTCAAAGTAGCTCAGAGGACGAATATTGATGCTGGATGAGTGTGTAGACTCACTGAGTGCTGACAGTGAGGGGTAGTTGTGTAGAAACTGGTTGTGATCCTCTGTGTGTGAGAGCTGCTCCAGCTCGCCGTCTTCCTCTTCAGCTCAGCGATCTCCTGCTCCAGCTTCTCCTGAAGCTCTTTGACTCGACTCACTTCAGTTTCCTGCTGGATCTGACCTGCTGCTTCACATCAGAGCTTCTTTTCTGGAGGAGACGGATCAGCTCAGTGAACATCTTCTCACTGTCCTCCACTGCTTTATCAGCAGAGCCATTGATGGCCTCCACCTCCTGTTGAAGCAGCTTCACATCTTTCTCTCGCTCCTGGATTCTCTGCTGGATGTTTAGTCGTCTCACCTCGAGCTCCTTCTGCTTCTCAGTCCTTTCTGCTGCAGCTGGGACTGTTTCATGGCCTTTATGTTCATCCATCGTGCAGAGATAACAGATACTCTGCTGATCAGTACGACAGAAAATCTTCATCACCTCATCATGACGAGAGCAGATGTTCTCCTGGAGCTTCTTGGAGGGGGCCACCAGCTGTGTCTAAGGAGTGCATTAGTGGGTGGAGTGTCTCACAGTAAGAGCTGACAGATAACAGACTTGATGGCTTTCAGCTTCCTCCCAGTGCAGACATCACAGGCCACATCTTCAGGTCCAGCATAGCAGTGATCAGCTGGAGCAGCTTGGAGTCCAGTCTTCTTCAGCTGCTCCACTAAAGCTGCAAACATGTGTTTTCTCCAGGACAGGCCTCGGTGTGAAAGTCTTCCTGCACTGAGGGCAGCTGTGGATTCCCTTCCTGTCCTCTTCATCCCAGAAACTTTAATACAGTTCCTGCAGTAGCTGTGTCCACAGGCTGTAGTCACCGGATCCTTCAGTAGATCCAAACAGATGGAACAAGAGAAGGTTTCCCGGTCCAGCTGAACTCCTTTCTGTGCCATTTCTCCTCTCAGTGTCAGTGACTGTGTGAGTTTCTCTAATACTGATGCAATACAGGAAAAGATTTGGGTGTTTTTCAGAAACAGGAAGTGGGAGTGGTTATGAGGCCTTGACTTATTCCAAGAGGAGAAGTGGTTTCAAGCAGATGGCGTGTGGTCATTTTTCACACAGCAAGCACATTTAAAATGTTTGTCTGTGTTAAATTGTTCGGAGGTTGATCTGCAGTTTTAATCACAGCCAGTCACTCTGCTGTTGAAGTACTACTTTATTTCTGACGGTTTAGTTTGCTAGTTTGAGCAGAAGTTGTATTTAGTGTTAGCTTATTTACACAATCTAGTATCTGTCATTTAAAATCTCAGGGTCTGAATGCATGAGCTCATTTGACTGTCATGACACAATGATTGCAGAAAAAGTGTATTTATGTTCATTTAATTGATAAATGTTTAACAGAATGAGCTGATAATTGGGCGATACATGTTAGGTGTACAGTCAAACTGGAGACTTGCTGTCTCTACTCTCTCTTATCAGGTAGACTATGGAGACCAACTGCTTTGTGGGAAATGTAGTTTTATAGCTTCAGATTCTGTTGTTCAAGTGTTTGAATGTTTACCACTATGAGTTTAATTTCTGTGCTATGTGCGTTGCAGGGAGGTTATGCAGGAACGCAGTAGGCTCAAGCTGTCGTCCTCCTGTCTCTGGCTGACACCAAAGCTAACAAACCAGGCATGAACCTGCTGCACTTTGTCGCTCTGGTGAGTAACATCATGTTCATTTCATTTTGCACATACGCCAGTGTGGCTGAAGTCACAAAAACAGTTAAAGTGCTCTTTGGTTGTCAGGCACCATTGGTGAATGAGATTCATCTGAATTTGATCAAGGTTCTGGATGTAGTCGGCTGTGCTGGTTGGCACTCATTGGCAGGAGGTCAGGGACACTACTTCCGAATGGGTAGGCTGGAGATGTGGTCCTCTTTTTTCTTTTTTTTAGGGAGGAAGACCTAAGACCCTATTTTATGGGAATCACACCTTTAGAGTTTCCAGGGAAGATCTATGCTATGATGTGGTTGTCATCCTGGTGTTGCTTTGGGTGTTGCCATTGTTACAGGCTACTGGTACCTGGACAACTGCAACCAGAGCTTGGTTCACATTACAGTCAATAAGTCATACTTATTCCTGGAGAGTGGTGGACTCCGCACTGCTGGTTTTGTACAGACTCTTTCAGATCTGGTGGTCTCAGAAACACGTCTCTCCTTTTTGCAGATGATACAATCCTTTTTTTGATTAATCTATTAATGAAATCAGCTCTTGAGACAGTTTGAGAGAGTTTGAAGCTCAGTGTGAAGTGGTTACAATGAAAATTAGCAGATCCACGTCTTAATGGTTTGAGTGGTGAAGAGAGACCTGAAGCTGAAGGGGAAGCTGTTGAGTAACTAGTTGATATAAATTGAACCCTCAGAATAAAATTGCAGATACAACAGGTGGAAATTAGTTATTCTGACAAGTTGTTGGTTCAGCTTCAGAGAGTGAGATGCTCAGTAGTTCAGGAGGGGCTCAGAATAGAGCTGCAGGCAAGTCCTACTGGTAGAAGGCCTAAACATGCTGGTGAGATTATGTCTTAAGGTGATTTCATGCAATGTCTACCAGAAGGGACCCTGGGACAGAGAATGGGTCTCTTTATGTGGATTGAGAGCACCTCTGTACCACCAAAATGAGCAAGAGGAGGTAGCTGGAAAGAGGGGGTCTCATGTTTTGTTTTTTGTTTTTCTATAGGAAGCCCATAAAAAGATGAGAAGCTCTTGGAGTTTCCTCTAAGCTGAGTCACATCCAGGCTGCAGCCAGGTCAGACATCACTTCATATTATTCACATATAAATACTACAGTTGTCCACATACACCACTACATTTCTCCATCAACCTGTTGGTGGGGATTTATTTATTATACTCCTTCTTTCCATCATTTATTACATCTCTACAGAATCTGAGTGAACACCGCCCCCTGCTGGTTTCTTTTCAGTCCTTCATTTGATACTTAAATTACACCAGACACAAAAATGAATGAAACCAAAGCAGAAATGAGGCTACATGGATTTGTTTTCCTTCCTTTGGTAGGATCTCATTGGAAACATTGGATGCTGAGCTGCATTTGCTGACATCTCGCACCACTCAGTGGAGGAGAGCATCCAGAGAGACACAGAGCTGCTGCAGCAACTGGACAGCTTTCTGCAGGTAACACACATAACAGTATTTAGTTTTATATAATCTTTAAATAAGTGTGTAGTTTAAAAAATAATTTTGTGCCTATTATGTTTGTCTCAGCATGCCACATCATCTCTCTGCTCACTCCGTGGCAGTCGGCAACAGCTAAAGAGGGAAGGCAGCGAGCTGATCGACTTTTTCTGCGAGGACAGAGACACTTTCAGGCTGGACGACTGTTTCAGCATCTTCCACACCTTCTGCTCCAGGTTCACAAATGCTGTCAAGGTACAACTATGAATGCAAATCCATTACACGAGCTGTACAACAATCCACACAAGATCCAGTAGATGTGGTTAAAACTGTTGGTATACTTCAACTGATACATTAGTCTTCATCCCATATTCATAATGCTTCTGATTTACAGTGAAACATATTAGTTTCTAAACCTTCCGTTTATGTGATTGCCAACAATTTCACCATTGTTGGCTTTTTGGCTCAAGTGTGTCTCCATTGCCTCTGAGTAGTTTGAATTCCCAAACCCTTCTCTCACGATGAGCTGTTGACAGAGACACAAATACCAGACCATAAATCAGGCATAAGAGGAGATGTTGTATTTAAGGCCCAAGGGTTCACAGTTTGTTTTATTTTTTGATTTGTTTGCTTTGATTTGTCCATCAGGATCTGAATTTTTTTTCAACATGCATAATATCTGTAGGCTATGGAGGACCAGAAGAGTCACGTGCATCAGGAAAATAACTTCTCTTCTCTTTTTGAAGGAGAACATGGAGAGGGAGGCGAAGGAGGCGGCTCGTCGTCAGCGGATACAAGAGCTGGAGGAGAAGAAGAGGCACTCCTGGCTGGAGGAGAAAAGGTAGGATGACGTACGCAGACACTGTAAAACAAAGTCAATCAAAGATGTCTAACGATGATCCACTCTCTGTTCCCGTTATAGGTGGATGGAGTCTTTGGGCTGCGCTGCCACAGTGAGCTTGACATGTCCACTGCTTTGTCGCGGCATGACGAGGCCGGACTGTTGATGGAGCTCCTGACCCTAGGTCCCACCCTCGCTCACCAGTGAACAACTCCCACAGTCCTCTGGACGTGCTGTGAGCTTACGTCGTTCCCGAAAGTCTCCATCCTGCTCACCATCTATTGCTGCTGAGCAGGAACTAAGCACTTTCCTGGAAAAGGCGACTGATCGCAAAAACATTCAGCAAAGAGGCAAAGGGAGCAGTTTCCATCTCCCTCAAGTCCAGGATTCCCAGTGTCCACCCAGACGGCACCACAAAACTCCTCATCACCTTCCAAAAGGAGTCCAAAAAACAAAAACCATGCAACTGCCACTTACCTCAGCCAAAATGCTACCCAGACGTGTGCAAATGCCACTAATCCTGCAAATGAACTGCAGTCAAACCTACCTCTGACTCAAACCAGCAATCTGAACACAACAACAAAAGCAGCAGTGATCAACCTGGCATGGGTTTAAGCAGCCATGCAACACTTACAACAAGCAAACCAAAGATGTTGAACTGGTTTTAACTCAGCAGACTGACTGCACTGATAAGAGCTTTCAGCAGAGCACCACTGCTACAGGAAACATGGTGGTGGTTTTAGACAAATGCACGTTGGTTCCTGAGCTAAAAGTGTTTGGCAGTGGCGACACCCTCACAAGTCATAGCGAAAACAGACATGTTGGTCTTCATCAAGACGATGTGACAATCACAGATTTGGAAGAAGAGAAAGGGATGAATTGCAAGTTGATAAGGTGCATAATAATGCCAACTGATTGTAAATCCAAACAATCTGATGAGCAAGTCTGTGAGCTCAGCTCTTCTTCAACACCAAGAGAGGGCGATGAGGGGCAAGAGGATAAGGTGGTTGTATGGTGTGACGGGTGTGTGCGAGGCTACAAGTGACACACAAAGCACCTATGCAGAAACTGAAAAAGATCAGCATAAGGGTGACAACCAAGGAGGAAACAAACTAACTTCCTCTGCTTTAGCCAATGACATGCCTTCAGAACCTCAACCGGCCAATGAAAAACCAGTGCCTGTACCCATCAGCAGCCAACCAGTGCCTGTCCCCGCTGTGATGACACATCACTGCTAGTTTCTTCCTCTGTGTGGCGCCCGAAAGAACCTCCAACACCTAATGTAGTGCCTGCTCTCACAGCAGATGCTTCTGAGAAAGATAAAGAACTGGAGGAAGAGGAAGAAGTGTCCACCAACAGGAACAGTGATGGAGTGACCGTCTCAAAACAATCAACAGAAGAGAAAAGCAAAAACAACATGGCATCTAAAGACTCAACCAGTAAAACTGCAAAAGCAGCTTCTTCCACCAAAGTAAAAGCAGAACCAGCAACTCCATCTAAACTACCCAGCAAGAGCCTTCCTACGTCTAAAGTCCAAACTAATGGGAAGAAACCTACCCCAAACACTATCTCTGCATCTGGCAAATCCAAATCTATCCGGACCCTCACAACCTCCGAGAACAAGGACATGAGGAGGGTTGTGCCAATATCCAGGACCAACAGAAGTCCATCCAGAATCAAACATACAGAGAAGAATCGAGGCTCCTCCAGCACCGCAGTGCCCACCAGTCTGACTCCCTCAAAACGAAGCAGTGCTTCCCCTCGACGAGTAGCGAGGCCTGCAAATGCTCCTTCATCCCAACAATCTGGGATCCCCAAGACTTTGGATCCAAAGGACTCAAAGAACCAGAATGTTTCAGGTACTCAGCCATCTGCCCGAGAACAGAACAAGGACTTTCAAGGAAAGATGTCCAGCCAAAAGCCCTTAATGAAACCTAAAGCCCAGCAGGAGGAGAAGATCTGTCGCTCCACACTGCGGGCACTCTCTCAGGGTGGAAGAAGTGGAGCAGGAGGCAGCGTCAGTGCTCCTGCCACTCCTTTGCGCAAAGCCACTAGCTCTTCATCATCTGTGTTTCCGGGTTTTGCACGGAGCACAGCCTCTTCTTCTTTCAGACGTACTCACACCAACCTTGCTGTTCCTGCTGCTTCCCACTCCCCCAACATTGGTCAGACCCTCCCCCAAACCTTCTTCCAAGACCTCCTCCCCTGTTACCCCATCCAGCACCTCCTTGCCTATTACGCGATCAAGATCACTAAGAGTCCATGCGTCAGCAAGATCCTCAGATGTCCAAAAACTCTCCCCCTCCTCACAGAGGAAGTCTCAGAGCGTCAAATCATCTCCTCGTGCATCGCGCCACGACTTGCTGGCTCCCCCTAAAGGCCACAGACGGAATGACAGTGACAGTGACAAGTCCGCTCATTCTCAGGACTCGGTCTTGCCCACAAGGCCGCGCTGGAGATAAACTCTTGGTTGTTTTGTTTTGAGGATTTTTTCCTAATCACTCCTCCTTCAGGAAAGTCAGGAGATACACTCCATTATGAAATGTAGATACCTTTTAAAATGTTCAAGTTTAATTTGAGTAACAAAGGAAGATACAATGAGATTGTCTCGTATGGATTTAAATCTTGTTTGTTACCTTGTTTGTTTGTTATTATAAGGTTTAAGTGCAGCGGAGCTGAAAAGTTCACTACGTTTTCTTTGTACTATATTGTCCTTGTAATGCACTTTAAACAACCACAGAGGGGAAAAACAACTTGTTTTCAAGGTATATTTGTATTCTTTCTAAATCTATTAATTGAGAGTACATTCCAAGATTAATGACAATTATGACCTCTCCTCACGACCTCAGGAAAGCCGATGTCTTATCAGAAATCACAGACCTTTTTGTTTTGGTCAGAGTGAAGCTCTGAGATCTCTGGATGAGTCGGGAAATGACTACAGCCTGTGACGTGATTGCTAACAAGCTTTCAGTCAAAACCACACTAACACTAGCAGTTCTGAATAATTTGGTGGCCGTAGCCATGACTTGATCTCTCCTATTAGGCCTACAGACACTTGAGTCAGTCTGTGCGTTAATCCACAGACTAAAGGCTCCTACTATGAGAGTAAGGGGTACGCCGTATTGTATGAAAGAAACTATTACAACCAACATACAAACTGCAAAGTTAAACACTGAATTGAAAGGAGGGGAGCTAAAAAACGGAGTGAATAAAATCTAATTTCATTTTATTTGTACTCCCTTTGATTTATTCCTGTGGTACTTTTTTCCTTTTTGAAAGAGAAATATCTGCAGCTATAAAGATGTACATCTTTGGAGTATCCTGAAAATTCTGCAGTTTTTAAAGGTCATGTGACTGAATGCCTTTTCGATTCACAAGCACCTTTAACTGCACGAACTGTGCAGCAGAATCTCTTTAATCCAGGCTGGACTTATATAGAAATAATAATATTACTACAATACTAATTGTTTTTATAAAGCCTGACATAACTAATCTTTGAGAGCGGTGGTGTCTTTTTTAAAAACACGATCAGTTTAAACAAGGAGATATTTATAACTCTGATTAAAAACAGACACTTTCTGTCTGACTTGGAAAATTCAAGTTGTGTTTTCATATGAGGACATTTTATGTTTATCTGTCTTTATTTATGTATGTAATGTTTCCCTACTAATTAATAAAGTATTGTTCCTCAGTCACTCTGCGCACTTCATTCAAAGACTGTATTGCACTTTTTCCTGCCAGAAGACAATGTTTTAATTGAAATAGACTGAAATATCTCACTTCAAGTGGAGGAATGTCTGGAAACATTCACTTTAAAACCAAGCACATTTGAAACTATATCCACATTTCCTATTCTTACAGCTGCATTTTGTATCTAATCTTGAGCAGAACGTCTTTGTGTCTGCACCTCTCATTAATTCTGGTCTTGTATCATATTTAAAACTGAGAAACTAAAGCAGTCGAGACCATCATCAATCTCAAAATCATCCATTTTTATAGTTCTTAGAGTTCAAGAAACAAGCACAAATGTGTTTTTGCTTCTAGGTTTTCTGTAGTGATGTAACAACGCTGAAGCTAAAGTAACTGTAGTGATTTGTGTAGAGGAAAACGTCTCTGTGGCAACATCACTGCCAACGTGTTCATCTTGAATGTGTTATTAGAGTTAAAAAAAACCTTTACAAGTATCTTTGATTTCTTTAAACACTGTAATAAGAATTGTGCTTTCAGGCGTTACTGCTGTTCTCTGAATATTTGTCAAGTCTAAAACCTTCTCTGTAACCCCTACAGATGGCTGTGTGTAGAAAATCCCAGTAGTTTCTGAAATACTCAGAGCAGCCTGTGTAATACCAACAACCAAACCTGTTAAACTTCTTTTCCATCTCTACGTCCATAAATGCGTGGAGCTACTGCTATGTGATTGGCTAATTAAATATTTGCATCGGTGAGCAGTTGTACAGGTTTACCTAATATAATCTTTCATTATCTCGTTTACAAACCCATCAATCTACATCATGTGTGTCAAACCCGAGGCCTGCGGGCCACATCTGGCCCAACGTATATTTATATCCGGCCCGCGAGATCATTTCTATATAGATTCAGAGTCGACTGCAGAGGTGCCATTGTGTCCCAGTCAAACAGTGCTCAGCAGTTATTAGGTAAGATGACGTCTTTCTGTAGTTCATTATTCTAACAAGCAAAAAGTATTAAAGTGATGTTTACGTTGTGTATTTCAGACGGTGAGATGCAGAACCTGCAGGCCACAGGAGAAATGTAGTTTCTGTAGTTGTTCAGTATCTAGAGGATACGTGTCAAACTCGAGGCCCGTGGGCCACATCCAGCCCAGCGTACATTTATATGCCTGCAAGATCCTTTTTATATAGATTCATTCATTCATATTGTTATTCATGGATCGGCAAAATGAAGCGCTAATGAGACAAAAGCTACAGATTCAATAATTCAGAGTGTCAATCAAGTCCAGTTTCT